CATTCCAATAGACCAGTTAAACCAATAGAAGGAGTGTAAAAACAAGTTCAAAAATGAATAATTCATTAGATTATTTATGGACAGTTTAGTAAAACATTCTGGAACAAATCAAATTTGTAGTGGAGCAGCATGAACTACAAGCTTAGAATATGTAGAATTTAATACAAGTATTTATATTCAAAAAATATCAACAATAGCAAAAGAAGTCACAATATTGGTAGTAATTGAAGCAATTTCTTTTAGTTGCAACTTGAATATTTGTACTGATAGCCAAGCAGCAATATATATATTAAATAAGTAGATTAATAACACATTAAAGATATCAACTCACATAATGCTTAAAATAACAGATTGGAAGATTTGGTATTATATTAGTAATATTATAAAACAAAAGCATATCAAAATCAAATAAACTAAAATCAAAGCACATAATAATAGTATTACAAATGAAAAAGCAGACAAATTGATAAAAATAGTATATAACAAGTCTCCTATTAATCTAATTGCATCAGACACATACAAACTTAACTTTTCAGCTTATTGCAATAATATATTGATTGATACTAATTTGTACAAGTTTCTTAAAAAATAATTAAAAACAAGACACAAAGTAGATTGGTAATTGAATAACATTATCAATAAACATATTGATTCACTAATAAATAATGATATTAACTGGGATATCTCATTCTTCATATGGAATTGGAATAATAAAATGTTATCAAGATATACACCAAGCAAATCAGCAACAATGTATATATTTTTATTAAGAAATTTATATAAGTATTTATCTATTGTACAGTATCTCTATGAACTTTGATCAAAAATATATAAATCAAGTTTGTACAAGCAATGCAATATATATATTAAAACAACAGATTACTTTTGGAATTGCAAAGTTAATGAAAAGATCAGATTGAAAATTATAAACTCATTAATTCAAAAATGGATAATGCTACTAAATAACAAGCTGCATCAATTGAAAAAAGACAATACCAAACAGTTGACATCTTCATGCTTGCAACAGATTTCCAAATTAGAGATGGCGCAGCAAGTATGTGACGCTTATTTGTCACCTGTTGCAACACGTTGCAACTCCAAAATTTTATAAGTCACAACTAGTTGCAACTAGGTGATGCTTTATTTGTCACCACATTACAACAGTTGCCACACCATCTTTATTCCAAATACTACAATAAGAATTGGTTTCAAATAAACTAATTAAATTTACAAAACAACTTGGAACAAATAATATACAAATAATAATTATTATTAAAATTATTACAAAAATAATTATTAAACTGGTAAGAGAACAACTATGACTATCATATTGCAAAACACAAATAAAATAAAAAACAAAATAATATTACAATAAAAAATAAAAACTCAAGTTTTAATGCTTCAAAAAATATAACTACAAAAGTCAATATGCAAATAAAAAAACCAAATCAACAAAACAAATAACAGTTCAAAGAATTAGAGGCATATTTTGCTATTGTGATATTGCAAAACAAAAATATAATAATATTTCATGTAATAAATTTAATGAAACAATTAATATAGTTAACAATATAATTATTCAAGAAAATATAGATTTTATAATAGATAGTAAGGTGATTTCATTAAACATGTAGCTACAGTAATCTTAGTATGATTAGTCATATTTCTTTGTACTTAGTATAGACAGGTAAGTGAAATTTATAAAAATGTAATTAATATTACATAACTAATAAAATTTTATGTGAAAAACTCTTTCTCATCGATCAATTTTTAGAAAAAGAGAAAAGAGTAAAAAATTATTGTTCATATAATAAACTCAGTTAAAATAAATAAATACACATACAAAAATATCTCAAAAAGATAATACTCACTTATTTGAGTTGACAATAGCTGAAAACTCAAGCAATAATAACAAACAAATAAAAATTAAGTGATCTTTTATGCCAACAAACTTATCAGAAAGAAACTACTTCAACTTACAAAAAAAATAGAACACTTCTAACTCCTGCAAAAAAATTAAACACTAGAAAAAAACATATTATAGCATTTTAATAAATAAAAAAGAAAAATACAATAATTAACTTATTATTCAAGAAAATACAATGCAAAACTCTACTATTTCACTAATCATATTTATATCACTATACACTTCATTTTTCAACATGAGAAAATCCAAAAAAACTATTAATAATAAATCTAATACATCTAATTCCAATAATAACAACAAAAAATCCAGAAATTCAACAAGAAAAAATTAAAGAAAATGCTTCTTTTACCTTTAAATCCAAAGAAGAAAAAATTTTTCTTGTTATTACTGCATCACAAATGGATAAAGATGTAGCAAATAATTAACAAAAAAAAATTAAAAATAAACTGGTTACAAGATGCATTTGATGATCAAAGTGATAATGAATCTGAAATAAATAACATAGAAATGATAACAGATAATGAAGAAACCAATCCAGATCATATAAAAAAATATACTGTTTTTAATCTGGAAAATTCCTGATTTTTGAGTCTGAAAATTTCTGGATTTTTTTCTGATTTCTAATATTCAATTTAAATCTGGAAATTTAATGATTTTGTTAACAAATTTCTGGAAAAATATTTAATACTTTCTGAAATATAATTAGAATATATATGCAAGTTAGACAGTATCTTTTTTTATTTTTTTTGGAATATATATGCAAGTTAGACAGAATCTTTTTTTTATTTTTCAGAATATAATCAGAATATATATGTAAATTAGATGGTATTTTTCTGGAATAAAGTCAGAATTTATATAGAGCAGACTGCAACAAAATCAGACAAAGTGAATATTTTATTATGTGACATAAATGAGAGGTTGATTCTATAGAAAATTGATCAATGTAACTGATGACATTTGAAAAGTAATAATGATACTCATTCATAACTTATGGACTTGTTAATTTTAATGCTCACTTTAGCATATCAAAATGTGATGAATATAAACTATAACATGATTAATATAGGATTATCTCTATATAAAAAATATTAATATAAAACTAATTTACATCAAATTCACTATGGAACCAAAGAATTACAGTACTATTAGAAGCATTCTAAAGAAAGCTCAAGGAGAAAAAATTGCTCCTTATGTTTTCAAAATCAATGATATCCAAATACTTCAGCAATATCTAAATCAAGAAAAAATTACTTATGAAATTTACCAAGAAGAATGAAAGATAATAAACAATAAACAAATATTAACTTCAACTTATAATAAACCAAGAAAAAAATGAAAATTAGAAGCATAAACAAACAGTTGCTCTTTATTATTATTAGACTATCATCAATAATCTGAAGGAATTTTTATAATTCTCTATATTTTGCTTGAGATAAAATAACAATAAATTTGGTTTATTTGTCCAAGTACTGCAACTCTGACACAATTCATGACAGCAAATCATTATTGTATTAGAAATAATAAGTAAGTATGAAATTAATAAACTTTTGGAGGTAATGCACAAAAAAATGTTTGATCAACAAATCAATTATTTCATTGTTTCAAGATAATGATATGTTTAATAAATATTTATAATTCTGATTAGCATTTGATGAACTAAAAAATTTGTTATAAAACCAGCACCATTTCACATATATTTCACTTAAAAACAAATTTACAATCGATCAAATTACAAATTTATATAATTATCATCAAATGTATTTATTTGTTCTGTAAAAAATAATTCACAAAATGCTCACTTTTATTCTGCATTATAAAATTTATAATTAGCTCAACAATATAAGCCAAAAACAACAATTCAAGCAGTTGAGTCAGGAAAAACTTAAAGTAAAATCCAAAACTATTAAACTACTCAGTAAGTGAAAATATCGAGAAAACATCAAAAATCTATGAAAAGATTTTAAAAAGTTATTTGATAAGAAAACTGAGCTGGACTCAACTTTCTCATTTAACAAAATGACAACTAAAATTTATACTTTACATGAAGAAAAAGACATTGCTACCACAACTCCAAAAAACTTTTATCTACGAAAAATTAATCCACGAAAAATGACTGTCGAAGCAATCAGGAGTGGGTTAATAAAGAAAAGAAGAGGTGAGAAGAAGATGTTGATAGCCTTAATAATACTATATAATATAGATTCACTAGCATGATCAAAATATAGGAATACTCATCAATAGCTTTGGATTCAAGTATTTTTTTCCATGTAATCATTCTAGTGAATATGCAAATATACTGACATACTCTGTGTTAAAAGTAATAAATATAAATAAATTGATTGTTATAACTGTGCCTGATTATTGTACTTGATTTTTGCAATTTAAATATTCAAACTCCTGAAAACAAAAAAGCATTCAAATTGCCAGTTATCCCATCACTGTAACTCACAATAAAATTCACTGGTAAAAATAGGTATTTTTTAAATTGTTTAAGTCAAAGTGTGATTAGATAGTTTTTATGATTGATTTTGTGATCAATTTAAATTAATAATTGTTAGATATGAATGAAGAGAGATTCTGATAGTCTTGCATACACTCATAAAAAGCAAACTCAAATCAATAGTCTTATTAAAAGTCTAGACAAAACTGTTTGATTTACCTCTGAACTCTTTTTTCTTTGATAATAAACAAATATTATTGTTCTTTATGGCAATATAACAATCATCAATTAGGATATGGTTAGAACTTATAATGTGTGACAATTTAGAGATAACGTTCTAGCAAACAAAGAATATAGGTATTCGGATTAGTCGTACAACAAAATACTAATCTAATCGAAAATAATAATAAGAATCAACTTTTCCCGTGATCTGATTAACCAGACAGGAATGATTACATGTATCGTTCACTTCCAAAAACACGCAAGGTATGTTTCAAACATCAATCACAGGGGCAACAATCGGACAATCTGATTTGATGCATGCAATTGTTCCACAACGTGATATGCCCATGGAGCGCAGCAAGATATAAACGCGCAGCTACACGTTCTTTTCATACGTATACACTTGACAATATGGATCAACTTGCCTTTGCTCATCAATACTCGAGAGAATATCCTAATGCTGATGTTGACCAGGTTAGACTGGCATACGAGAAATACCTCAAAGAACAACAAGGTAAACAAGCAACGAATACACGTTTATTGGAAGGATAAGTTGAAATGCATTACGACATGCGTTGGGGTTGGGACATAGAGCAGAGTCGTAGCAAAGGTTAGGTTATACCTAGACACGTTTCAAAAAACTAGAGAGACAAGAGACATTATGGGTTAATAGAGGAGCCACGAAGGAGAATAATTCGAATGCTGTTACAACACGAAATG